CACTGCGCCTGCACCCTGCCCCCGAGGCCACGGTGGCCGCCACCTGTGCGTTCCCCAGTGTCCAGGCGGCCGTGGATAGCACTGTGCACATCCTCCAGGCTGCAATACCTGTGGCCCGCATTGGTGAGCCGGGAACTGGGCAGTCCAGGTGGGCTTCTCAGAAGAGGCCCCCTTTGAAGACCAGCCCTCACTTCACCTGCCCTCTCCTTGGTCCCAGAGTTCCTGGATGAGGTCATGATGGACGCCTGCAACAGGTACAGCAAACTGGACTGCTGCGTGGCACCCACGCTCTTCCTCGAGTTCCATGGTTCCGAGCAGGCCCTGGTGGAGCAGGTGCAGCGGACAGGTGTGCTGGGGAGCTGGGGGGCAGGGGCACAGGCTGCCCAGCGTAGGGTCTGGAGTCAATTCCCCCGTCCCCCTGCAGAGGAGATCACCCAGTCCAATGGAGCCTTCCACTTCTCCTGGGCCAAGGAGGCGGAGGAGCGCAGCCGGCTCTGGACCGCCCGGCACAATGCTTGGTACGCAGCCCTGGCCCTGCGGCCGGGCTGCAAGGTGAGCTGGGCTGAGGGGAAGTGGGACCCACGGCTCACCCATGGACCCTTTGCTCAGCCCACTAACTTGGTGTCCAGAGCAGCAGGCTAAGCCCACAGCAGGCAGAACGGCCCCCATTTAGCCATTAGAGGCAAAGCAGTCGTCTGCCAAACCCTCAGGAGGGGCCTCTGCATTGGGCCAGGCCGTGGGCACAGGGAAGGGGGGTTGGGAGGGACATAGCAAGACATAGCCTTGGCTGGCAGTGTCTGGAGAACACACCCCGGCCATCATCTTGTACAGGGAAAACCGAGCCCTAGAGAGCAGGCAAGCCCCCTAGACCTTGACTCCTGTGACCCCTTACCTCTGGGCAGGCAGGGGGTGAGGGGGGAATCTCACAGGCCTGCCCCTGTTCCAGGGCTATGCCACTGACGTTTGTGTGCCCATCTCCCGGCTGCCGGAGATCCTGGTACAGGCCAAGGAGGACCTGAAGGCCTCGGGGCTCACAGGTGCTGCCTGCCCACTGCTGGCGTAGGGGGGAGGGGGGAAGGCTGGACTGGGAGCAGCAGCTGGGTCCTCTGGGCCTCCAGGAACCATTGTTGGACACGTGGGCGACGGCAACTTCCACTGCATCCTGCTGGTAGACCCGGAGGACACCGAGGAGCTCCGCAGGGTTGAGGCCTTTGCACACCAGCTGGGCAGGTAAGAGCAAAGTCCGGGCCAGGGAGGTGGGGGAGACTGAGGGGAGCGGGAGGAGCCCCCCGCTGATGGTCTCTTCACTGCTTCCCAGGCGGGCGCTGGCACTCCACGGTACATGCACAGGGGAACATGGCATTGGGCTGGGCAAGCGGCAGCTGCTGCAGGAGGAGGTAGGAGCCGTGGGCATAGAGACCATGCGGCAGCTCAAGGCCACACTGGATCCTCGAGGCCTCATGAACCCAGGCAAGGTGCTGTGAGGGGCTCTGAGCACTTGGCACACAAACCCCAGACAGTGGAACATCCTGCCTGGACTCTTCATGCCACAGAACAGCTCTGCCTTTGCCTCTTATCTGGAGCTCAAGGCCGGAAGAGGGGAGAGAAGCCTGAAGGCCTGGCCCCTCCCTGGTCCTCTTGCTGTCCCAGGAGCCTTTGGTTCAATAAATGTGTAAGCTGGTGAAGCTGCCTCCTCTCTCTCTTACACATCCTGTCCTGGCTGGGAGAGGTGCTGTGGGTCACCCCGAAGACCGAGATGACTCCCCTCCACCAAGGCCTCCCCATTGCTGGGAGCCTGGGACAAAGTCTGAGGAACTCAGCACCCTTAGCCCTAATAAACCTGAACCCCATTTGTGGCTGCCTGGAGGTGAGCAGGCAGAACCTGTGAATGGCCTCCTGCTCAGCACCCCCAGGTCATTTGGACAGTGACACCCCCATCCCTCGTTCCAGACCTGTCCTCTGACTTACTGCAGCCTGGGGAGGGGATGGTGCTCAGGCTACAGAGGGAGGTCACCTTCAGGAACTCCAGGGTCTGAGGACTTGCCCATGGTCAACATCACTTATGACAGACAGACACTGAGTGCCAACTGGGCCTTAGAACATTCTGTACATGTCCTTTAAGCAGCTGCTACGAATCACTGGAAATGGAAGTGAGGTTATTCTCCTTGTGCCATACCTCTCCAAGGTATGACTTATTAAACTCCCAGCTCTTTTGCCCTCAAAGTCAGAATCTGTCTACCAGGAGGTATGCCCTGCCCTGGGATCCCAGGCCAGAGCTTCCGTCTGGGGTACCTGACAGCTGTTCCCCCTGAGCCCACTAGAGGGCGCCTGGCACCATAAACTTCAACACCCCATCAACTGCTGGGGCCTAGCTCTTAGCCCTCAGCCCTAGGGGAGGGGGCAGGGGATGTTGGCAAGTGCTGCCTTGGAAGCCAATTGCTCAACTCTCCACCCCCCTGCAGGTCCCCGGAGGAGCGTATAGTGTGGGCCCAACTCCCTCATCCCCTGGCTCCTAAGGAAACAGGCTTGGCCAGCCAGGCAGGGGCACCCTCCTTCACACCTCACTCTCCCTCCAAGCCATCTGAGTTCCTTCCCTGCCTCCATCCCTAGACCCCCTCACCTCTTCCCATCTGCTGTTCAGGCCCTGGGCAGAGGTAGCCCTCTGTGACTCCTCAGTCTATTTGTTCCAGGAACCTGTCCTCTGTGTTAACTAACACTGGGTTGATCCTGGAGTTTGCTCCTCTGTGACTTGTCCCCCTCCCTCCCCCCTGCACCCCCCCCCCCCCCTGCCCTGGATGGGAGCAGTAGCTGTGCCAAGGGGTGGTGTGGGGCAGGTCTCGTTGGTCCCTCCCCAAACCACCCCATACAGGTGGGCCTCAAGTGGTCCAGGGAAAAACAGGCTATTTAACCCCCCCCCCGGGTTTCCTCCCACAAACCTGCATCTTCCCTGTCATGCCCCCAAGTGAAGGTAATAAAATGAAGATCAAAGAGAGGGGGGATTTCGATAAAATTTTTTTA